GCTGGCAGCTGGGGAGCATCCTTCAATGTTTTTCCAAACACCACCATTCTTTTGAAAGGCACATGTTGAGAATCCTGAAGACTAAGCCCTCCCTGTCCTAGATGGAAGGCACTGACGATGGCAGAAATCCTTCATACCACTATGCCAGTGCATTTCAATCCTGATCTGGCTGTACTTTTACACAAGAGAGGGGGTAGTTCAGTTTTGCTTAGCTCCCAGGCTGAGTTTACCAATGTCCATCAAACAATTCCAGAAGTTGAACTAAAACAGCTCGTTGATGCCATGAAAACCACTTGATAGCCTGTTGACCCAGTCAAGCCAGGATCAGGGCTGTAGGAGTAAAAGGTCCCATAGGCCATTAAACTACCCAATGTCCCTTGTCCATCTTGCCCAAAACTTTCCCATCGTTTTGTTTTTGGTTTTGGTTTTTTTTTTTTTCTGAAATGGAGTAACTGGGGTAAAATGTTTTTTAGTTATCACACGCTGTTCTGACAGATTCTAAACATTGATCAGTGTAATGACTCAAGTTTTCATACAGTTCTCCTAGTACTATAAATTTTCAGAACCTAAGTTGCTTGTTTACTGTGTATATAGTATAATCCATGCCATTAGCCATGCAAATACCTGCTTTCATGTCTTCTCCCTCAAGTTACCTTAAACTATTTAGATTACTTTGGAATCTTTCCCAACAGCTGCTAGCAGGGTGATTCTGACCCTTTGCAAAACCTAAGGAATACCATGTTTTCAAAACTGTAACTGGATGATCCTGGAAACATGATAGTGAAAAAAGGATAAACACATCATATTTGTGTTTTCAGGTTGAACTGGAGGTACCACAGCTGTGCCACTTCATCCTGAGGACAATGCATTGCTCCCTGAGGGAGACATTTGGTGTTGACACTGAGGGAAGGGCCATGCTGAAGAAGTCAAAGAATTCTGAGGACTTTGCAAATGCCATGTCCAAGTAAGCAATATCAATTATAATCAATACTTGTAGGCTTAACATGGAGCAGGCTGCAATGTTACAGTCCACCCAGACTGTGTTTTTTCAGGCATAGAACACATTTCATGATAACATGGTAGATTTATAAGCTGATTCCACAGCAAAACTCTCCCTGATGTAATTTAGGGATAACTTGGCACAATTCTCAATTGCTAGTAGGGAAGGGTTTTTTCCATCCAGAATTTTCACCTAGGATGTTTTTGTCATTTATATCATCTACATCAAGAAACGGTTGGGTAGTCACGTAAAAGATTATTGCAAGTTCCCTCTTGTAAGCAAATTCTCAAATGGCTGTGTGCAGCCATTTTAAGATAATTTTCCTTTGCTGACATGGTACAAAGACTCTGCAATAGAAAGGCATTTGAGACTGAAGTCCAGATTTCCTATCACGATCTTTAATGACTTATGCAACTTATCTTTTCCTTACTTATCTGCTTTCGTAACTTACTGCTACTATTCCCTCAGCCCAACTAGTCTCGAATGCTTATCAGTGCATGTTTTACTCATGCACCTTCATGCTTGTTTCAATGCCTCAGTATCCACTCCATCTAGTTGCACAAGCCATAGATCTCAAAACAGCTTGACACAGTGTAAAAATATGTTTTTCAGGAAACAATCAAGGTTTTATTTAAAGACTGCAACTAGTAGAGAATCCTTCCCATCATTTTGTAGCCTATTACAGTAGTTAATAATTACCTCATTCTAAAAATTTACTTATCTCCTCTCTGAATTTGTGCAATTCCAACTTCCAGCCATTGCTCTTGATATTTGCTTGTCCTTAGATGACGTAGTCTGGTGATACCAGAATGTCCTCGATTAGAAATTTGCTGCTTTAATAGTAATACTCTCTAATAGTAACAACAGTGAGTAGTAAATAATGATAGACCAAGAGAAACATGATGCTTTAGCTATAGCCTAGCAGTTTATTGATAACATGTTCTTCACTGGGCGGCTTTAACATGATTTTGTACTAATGTTGGGGTTTTTTTGGTCAGGCATGAGCTAAAATTCAGCATTCAGGATGGAACAAAAGTCAAGCTGTACCCAGAGAAAGATGAACCTCTGAATGTACTGAATCTCAAGAGGGGGATCATCTCAGCTCTACTTGTGCCAACAGAAACAGTAGAAAACGTAAAAACAATTTCAATGGTAGGTGTTTTGAAAGGATTCACTTTATTTCCTTAACAAATGGAAGAAACCTCACCTAGTAGAGTTACTCCCAAACATAATTTTCAAAAGACCTGGAAATTCAGATGAGAAAGGGTGCCTTTCAGCTAGAACAGAAAATGCCTGACAGCATGAACAGAGACACTGATTTCTTTCTTCTTTCCAGGATACTGTCTATGGAAAGTGTGACAGTGAAGTTGAATTCAAATCTAGAAAAGGAAATGTTGCAGAAGATATTTCAATTAACAGGGACCTCAAAGCCTGTGACAGCTTCAGTCCCATCAGAGATTATGTCAGCCCTATTGCCATTGTAAAGGGACTAGTAAGTATACAATTAAAAATTATATGATATAATATTCTTCACTACATCACTTAAAATGATAAACAACTACTACAGCAACTAAATTTTGTATTTATCGTCTAAAAGCTTAAATAGGTTTTCTGCACCCTTGCATTAAATCAGACTGTTTTTGTTGGCAGTCAATAGAGAAAAATAGATGAAGAGAAGGAGTGTAATTACCTTCTTCCATGTTCTTCGCATTATTTTTTAAATGAGAACTTTTCATAGATGGAGTTATTACTATTGATTACATGATAACCTATTAGATCATATCCAAATTTTTAAGGTTTTGGATCAAAATTTTTAGCATTCTAATTTCATGTAAAACATGTAGTCCACACAGACCCTGATGTGTATATGATGTGCAGGAGGACAGGGCTCTAAATGCCCCCAAGTAAATGGTTTGACATGCTGTTCAGGCATGATGAAATGCATTTGCTTGCAGGAATATTGGCAGATTTTTCCTGGTATTATGACATCTGTGCTTTTGAGTGTTTTCCCTCAAAAAGAAATAATTAGGATTTCATATAATTTATAATTTCTGCCACTTGTACAGCTTGTTGTAGAAGTCTTTAAAATTTGTATAATAAGAGTGAAATTAAAAAGAACATCAGCTGTTACAAGGGGCCTGAACCACTGTAAAAATTATAGACTGGTTTCTATGAAGGAGTCCTTTGTTACAGGCAGCAGGGGAGCAGTCATGAAGTAACTACTAAGCCAAACACCTCACTGAGGCCTGAGGGACAATTTCAGTGGGATTTTTGCCTGTGAAGAGACTTAAGACTAAAGATTGATACTGGCACAATTTTGTCTTTGTGTGAGAATGATTCCAGTTATGCAACTTTGTTTCCAATATGCTGTAACTGTTAATATTACAGTAAAACTGTGGAAGCCTTTAAAACTATGTTTGTTTCCTGTACTATTCAGTAAAATAACTGCCAAACTATTTATTGTACAGAACATCCCATTATCTACCCTTCTAAGGAGCACTCAATTCTGTCATTACAATATTGATGCAAAGAAAAGGCATATAAGAGACGCTGTCTGCAGTGAAAAACACCTGTTCCTGCCTTCCTCATACAAGTAGGTTGCTCACTATTTGTCATTACCCTTTATTTACAAATATTCATTTTAAATGGTGATGTATCACATTCTGCCCTGACTTCATCCCCAAATATGCATTTTGTTCTCAAGAAGGCAGGAAGCATAACAAGACCCCTCAAGGGTGCTTAGAACCAACTAAAGAACTGAATTTTTCTTTGTTTGCTAGAAATCGCTACGGTGTGATGACGGAGGTCAACCAGACACTGAAGCTTGAAGATACCCCAAAGATCAATAACAGACATTTCGATGGAGGTATAGCTGCAATTCTCAATATTACTTGTACAGGGTCAAAATATAAGTACCGGTTAAATACAGGGACCTTTTTTTTTTGAACAGTGAATTAGTTAAAGATGCAATTGAGGGGACCAAAACAATTAATCATTTTTAATGAAATTTGATCAGTTTAGTCAGGAAAAGGTTGGGGTATAAAATGGGAAAACCTGAAAAGTTTAAAACCACTGTAATTTTAAATAATCTTTGTATTTTCATTTTAATTTTGAAATTACTCTTTATAATTAAAAAATATAATTTGCTTGGAAAGTAATTTTAATCTTATTGTAAATTAGTTTAATGAAAACTTTTTAGCTAACCATAATTTCTTATGCAACTTTTAGCTTCAGCTGCCAAATGTAAACAGTCCATGATTACTTTATATTTGGTTCTGAAGTACACTTTTTTGACATGCAGTTGGTATTCCTAGTCATAACGTATTTCTCCTAAGATATATTTATTAAAAGTTGAAAAAGCAAACTATGCTAATATAAAAGGTATTAAGGAATCACCTTCATGAAAATTTAAAAGAATTTATGCATATAGGTATTATTCAACTTTTGGGAGAATTACATTTAAATTCCATACCATTATTTTTAGAAACTGTTCAGCTGTTAAACTTCAACGGTTATCACATAAAATAATCTACAGAGTTTATGTCTATACTGAATGTATGACAGAAGATAAAAATGAACATAGCTCCTTGATCAAGACATAAAGAATGCGATTTTTTTTAATTCCTAGATGAACTAGAAGAGAAGGGACTTGCACTGGAAAGTACAGATGCCAAATTTCCCAGGCAGGGGGATGCTGTTCTGAAAATCCTTCAAGAACTGCAGAAACTTACAGCTTCCCAGCAGAACCAGCAGAGAGCAAGACTCTTTTACAGATTTGTTTCTGGACTCAGAAGTTTACATAGCACCACTCTTGGCTCTCTTATACCAAAGATGATGGAAACTTCAAGGTATGTTGCAACAGTTCATTGTGCGAGTACACCATATGTCAATGCCATAGCAAATCCGTTCAAAAGTTGATGATTTGCTGTAAATTGTTTTAAATTAGAGGTTAATTAGATCTTCAGAATTATCTGGAGAGAGAAGGAAGAGAGAGTAAAACCTGTGGATTTCACATTTTTCCATCATAAATGCTCAGTTGTTAATTGGAACTTGAACATTAAATATATGAGAACAGTATAAGAATTCAAACACATCCAAAAGTTCTAGCCTCTTATGCAGAACTAATACTGTTTTGATCATTCCCCCATCAAATCTTCCAAACTTATCAGAGAAGCTGAACTATAAATTAGAGTATAACACAGCCCAGTACAGGGGTTTTCTCCCTAACACCATCCAAAGTGTGTATGCCAGATGCAACCCTGCGGTTATATTATCTTTCGTGCAGTTTTTCTCAAGGGCAATGACTGTAATTCCAAACTCCCTAGTCTGACTTGTAGCAAAGAACACAGTTTTGAAAGTGAGGTTTTTGGAGATGTGGAAGGGCACAATTCTTTGATCTTTGATTTGACCCTGCTCTCCACTCCTCACCCTTACTCTTCTGTCCTAGCTGGACTTGACTCAATTTACACATACTTTATGTGCTCAGACTTTAGAGGGACTAGAGCCTCAATCTGGTCCAATATATTATATTATAATACTTTAAAGTTGTGGGAAAGTCTGTTGTGGAGAAAAAAAAAAAGATATGTCTGTGTAATTATAGCATTGTTAATACTTTTTTGTTTGTAGCTAATCATGTTATTAGTATAACTTGTGAAACTAAGAAACTTCTTTTTTATAAGCAATTGTGTGATTTGCTTCCCAGTCATGCGTAAGTATTCTCATTTATCTAAAAAAAACTTAATAAACTTGTCCAATGTTTATTTCAAACATGCAACATGCAGTGGCAACTGCAAACAGAGAATTGATTAATCAAAGTCTTCTCTTTTCCTTTCAGTGCCATCACAGTTCAGGCCCTGACTCAGTGCGGGACTCCAGAGTGCTATGGTGCAGTCCTTCAAATACTGAGAACTGGAAACGTGAATCCACTTGTGGTAGACCTGGTCACATATACCCTGGGACTATTGCCTTCTCCAACTCCGAAAAGAATACGGGAAATTCTTGACATGGCCCAGTATCAGCCAAGTAGAGCTTCTTTTTATGCCTTGAGTCATTCTGTTACTAAGTAAGTAATGATAGCACATAACTGTAGAAAATAATCTCAAGAAAACATTACAATGCTCAGACTAAACCCTAAGAATGGTCACTTTTTGAGGATTTTTTTGTTATTCTCATGAATTTGCTCTTTGGCAATAAAAAATAAATAGACATTTCGTATTTTCTCCTTTTGTTTCTAATCTGTTGCTCTATTTCTTTAGGTTCTTCAATGAGAAGATGATTGTGACAGATGAAATAACAGATGTTGCAGACTTCATGGTATCACTGCTTGGCACTGATTGTTCTGGGGAAGATGAACTCACATACCTCACACTTCGGGTATTTTTATTTCCTTCTTTCCTTGTGCAGGCTATTATTTTAAATTGTAGTGCGTATATTACTCTATTTGTCTTGGTGGAGCAAAAATGTTTATCATCTTTCTGTGTTTTCACCGTTGACAGGCTATTGGAAACATGGGTGCAGTAATGGAGAAAGCTAAACCCAACCTGAAATCTTTTCTTAAGACATGTATGAGAAATGAAGCTGCATCACTTTCAGTTCAGAAAGCAGCCATCCAGGCATTCAGGAAAATGACTGTTACTGAAGAGGTAAATTGGGTCACAAGAACAAGCATAAATCATCTTCAGTTCACCTTGACTGTTCACAGAAGTTCTTGAATATACAGAAACATTCCCATTATTTCATAGTTTTCCTATCTCCTTTTAGCTGTCTCCAGCTTTTTTTAGAACTCCTTTGGTTAGTTTAGTTTCCATAAACATATCTGAGAAGTTCTGCAAACTTCTGACTTAGTAGGTGTTGCTCCTTTGAGATGCAGTTGCTTTGTATAGATAGTGTCAGTTTAAATGGGAAATTTGGATCTGTCCCTGTTAGAGTGTCTTAAATGGAGTTCTACTTATTTAAAGGTGGGTATAACTAATGAATTAGTCCAGATTTAAATGGATTTAACTAAAAAAAAAATCAGATTCCTATTGTATACTGGCATTTTGTTGTCGTTGTTATTAATAGTACTGGTTAGATTTATGCTTACTTTACAGAACGGGTGACATTATACAGAGCACTTCAGCTTAGTATAGTGAAATAGTTTCAATATCAACAAGTTTCTACTCTAAGAGACATGTACTTGTTTCCAGACAAAGCTTAATGAGTCTGGGAGCCTGGAAACACCTGGAGCTCACGTGCTGAAATTCAGCTTAATTTAAAGCATTTAATTTTTTAATTATTATTTATTTTCAAGCTATCTTTTTGATTTTGCTGCAGCAGAAGACTTTTATCACCTTCTTTTCCTAAACTGAATGATCTTTTTTCCAAAACTTGAGGCTTTGTCTGCAGACCAGAACACTGCTGATTCCCAAAAATCAACACTAAGTATTCTAAAGAAAAAAGTAACCTGCCAGATGTAGGATAAGAAAATCAGTTTTAATAAAACCATAATTTCTATTGCATATTCTATCAAAAGAAACTTTATCAAAATAGCTTCAATGAAACATTTTTGGTCAGTTATAGAAATATGGTATAGAAATAGTTATGCGATCCTGAATAAATTACATCCTGGAACTTACTTCATCCTGTCTATTCCCAAAAGAGTTTAGCAGTATCATCTACCTGCCTGCTCATCAGTGCAAACCTTTCTCTATTTATATAGGACCGTTCGGCCCTTCTGAAAGCATTCCAAGAAGGGGATGCACCTACAGAGAAACGTCTAGCAGCCTATCTCATACTGATGAAAAATCCTTCCCCAAGTGACCTTGCAAAGATTTTGAGAGTCCTCACAAAGGAGAAGAATGAGCAAGTGAAAAGCTTTGTTGCCTCACACATTGCCAACATCCTGGACTCTGAAGAAGTAGGCATTGAAGAGTAAGTAAAATTTAATTATATTCTGGTCTCCTAGGAATAACAAAGTTCTGGCCATAATGGCAGTGGTAGTAATTTAGCAGTGCATTTTTTGCTTGGTTTTTTTTTGTTTGCTTGTTTGTTTTCTTTGTTTGAACAAGCACATCCACTGAGCAAATCTATCGCTTTGTCAGAGCAGTGCCAGCTTACAGTCTTTGCCTTAAGTCTTGTTTTTACTGTTAAAATGCGCAAGAGAGCTAGCCATTTGCAATCACCTCAGTTGTATGAATGTCTGCAAGTGACACAAGAAATCCCTCAACTAAGACTAAATGAGTTTTTGGAATTTATACTAATCGCAATTGTATTGCTATTCTCTTTCCTAGTCTAAAAAGCCGAGTTGAAGAAGCTCTTAAAGGAAACCAGGTTCCAACAGCCAAAGATTTCAGAAAATTCTCACAAAATTATCAGATTTCCAAAAGAGTTTCTGTACCTGGAGTTGATCCCATCTCTGCCAAAGTAGAAGGAAATGTGGTATTTGATCCAAACAGCTATGTTCCTAAAGAGACTATGCTAAAAACCACCCTGGATGTGTATGGATTTGGCCCAAGCGATATCTTCGAGGTATAACAATTACCAAACCCTTTTGCTAGGATTCAGCTGTTTTCTTTCTCATTTCTGTTTTCTTATAACAACTTTCTCTGAATAATGTATTGTTTTTACAAGCTTTGGGAGAAGTCTAAAGATCACTATGCTTACAAGGGGACTTTCATTTGATCTCAATGGGCTTTAGAGCAAGCCATCCGTTATGTGATGTCACTTGCCACTAACTGGATGGACGACCCTGTTGGAATTATTAAACGCCTCAGCTAGGGGAAAATGAACCCATCTGTAACAAATTGACTTCATGCTAATGAATCATTACTGGCACACTGAAGTACTCCTAGTAGATTTTAAGTGAGATACAGCCTATGTGTAGGTTTTTTGTTGGACCTTACCAAAGAGATAAAATTGATTGTAAGACCTGTATTCCATATCTTCCCTTACAAATCATAGACTTGTAGGATACACTTTAAATGCATTATTTGTTCCCCAGAAAGTCTGTTTGTTGTAAAGCTCCAAACAAGTGGGGAAACTGTCTCAGTTATTGCATTGTCCTGTTCATTACAGCTTGGCTTGGATGGAAAGGGGTTTGAACCAACACTGGAAGCTTTGTTTGGAGACAAGGGATTTTTTCCAGATGCTGCAAGCAAGGCCTTGTACTGGGTTGAAGGCAGAGTGCCAGAGCAGGTTTCCAAAGCACTTTTTGACTACTTTGGTTACTCCCACGATGGCAAGCAGGATCAGGTACAGCTTGAAAACATTCTCTGTGTGGCACAGCTTTCTTATCTTTACACAGTAATTAGAGCACTTCCCTCTTTACTGTATATGAGCCTTCTCCTCTTCTAGTAAGCTAAAATAGAAATCCTTAATGCTCTTTAACAATGTTTTTTTCTTAATTGTATGTGGGAGGGGCCTTTGTCTGGAGACAAATCTATAAGAAATGCATGTGCAGATTAGCTGACATTCACTAAGTAACTGTTCTAGATATATGATCTTACAGATTTCTCATAAATCTGTTTTACTACTTTCTAACTGAATTTTCAGGATGTCATGAAAGGAATAATGCTTAACCTTGAAAAGCTGATAAAACAATTGGGCAACAAGGAAGCTCCTGAAGGAAGAGCATATCTGAGAATCCTGGGAGAAGAACTTGGATACATGAAACTGAATGATTTCAAATTGCTGGGAAGCATGATTTTAAAGAGTGTTAAAACTCTTCAGACTATTCCCGAAATGGTAAGTTTCTGATGCACCAACATATACTATTAATTTGGTTTTTTTCTAGAAGATTTTTTTAAGATTTAGGTTGTGTTTATCTTTTATGTAAAGAATGGATATTTGATAGCAGCATGAAAATAAAATTATTTAAAGTAAAATATCCAGGTTTAGTTGAAGGACTCTGAGAAACCCATGAAGACTCCTCAATAACCAGGTGGAGTCCTCCTGGAAGATGGGTGTGAGGAATGAAAAAGGGAAGGTTCAGATCTTATTGTATGATTGAGATATCTACTGGAACAATGCCCAAAATCTTAGTGTTGACCATTATGTTATACTACTAAATTTCTAATTATGAAAATGTATATTAATATTAAGCAATAACTTGTCATATTAAAAAGACATAAAGATGTACAGTTTAGGAGTATTTGGTAAGACCCTTTATTCACTGAAGTAAAAAACCACTTCCCCATTGACTTTGGAGAAGCCAGAATGTTACATGTTATATAAACCAATTCACCTTTGTATGTGTATGTCAAGTAGATGATCTGTGTGTATCAAGGCAGGTGATAATATCTAGTATTTGTTTAAAGCTGGGATTTTGACAGTCTTTAGTACATTTTTTGAAGCAAGGAATCTAGAAAATTAACCTTTGGATTATACAGTTACAATCACTCCATTAACAATTTTTAAATGTGCATATTCCAAACTGTAGATTTGTTCATGTCCATTTCCTTGTTTGCTTCACAGATTGCACAAGCCATCTCAAAAGGCATTGACAGAGATTTATTTGTCCACTACATGTTCATGGACAATGAGTTTGAGCTCCCAACTGGAGCAGGTTTACAACTGAAGTTTGCCTTGTCTGGAATAGCAACACCCGGGGCCAAAGTAGCTGTGAAGCTTCATCAAAAAAGCGTAAGTCTCAACAGCTGTCTATATTTGGTCTCCTCCAAATAATCTACACTCTCATTTAGGGATAAAACTGTAACACCAGAAGAATTTTAAAGACTACAAAATACTCTTCAAATGAAAACAACTTGCATATTAAAGGTCTCCAGTTAATTTGTGGATGAGATTTACATTAAAGTAAGAAGTAATACATATAATTGTGTGAGACATAGTAAAATTTATGAATTAAAAGTATCTTAATCACCCTTTCAAAAGTAATCATTTTAATCTCTGTTTATTTCTCTTTCCTTGCTCTCAAATGAGAATAGGACAAAAGCTACATCATGTGAATTTGCTGTTCAAACCGAACAGTTAATAGAAAATTTTGATGTGCCCAATTCCAAGGCAAAATTTTCATTTTCAGTTAAAGAAATATTGAAAATTGAATTGAACATTTTTTCATTTGAAAGGAAACATTTAAAAATTGTAACAATTAAAGAGAATGTGACACAAAATTAATTATCCATTTAAAATAAAAAAAATAAATATTTCCATTCTTTTTTTACAATTTTAATAACTATTTTGTTCTCATTTAGTCAATATTTTATATAAATTTCTCAATAGTTTCAGTTCACCTAAACTGTTAATTTCCACCATATACATGGTTTAAGTCAAAATTAAAAAAATGTCCTCAAATTTAGTACTGGTTGCCTTTTTGTTACCTTTAAATCTTTTCTAGAATTTTGCATTCTGTCCCCTCTTCCTGTAATGGCCAAACAAAAAGCTTGAAAATAAGCTGGTTTAGAGAAATCCAAATCTTGGATCCGTTTCATTTTGTCAGTTTGCTCACTTTTTTTTAAAATTGCTGTTTTATTTTTTTTACAATGGAAAACTGGCTCTTGTCTTCAGGTTTAACAATACATGCAAGTAGTTCCATGTACAAAATCTTTCTGAAGCATGAGTAATTTTACATTAAAGTAGGTAAGGTTCATGGTGTTATCATCTTGCTCTATTTGTTACCTTACAGTTACCACTTATGTGGTCCTCTACTTATGTGACTTGGAAATCAAATTTTCTGAATAACAAAATCAATTATATAGAACTCACCTCTAGATTATCAATAATATTTTATAAAACAAGAAGTCTATTGGGCAAATAAATACACCATTTTGTTTTTATTAAACAGATGCAAGCAGAACTCATTGCTAAACCTTCAGTAGCAATTGAGTTTGTGACACACTTAGGAATAAACATGCCTGAATTTGCTAGAAGTGGTGTGGAGATGAATTCTAATATATTCCATGAGTCTGGAATTGAAGCACATGTTAGTATGAAAGCTAAGTATCAGGTAACAAGAACTGAATGAGAACTTGGAAAGCTATGTTCTTCCCTTCTCTTCTTGGTTTTTGTTGTAATGGAATTGAGAGGCTAGGGCAGGCATGGAGAAATTTTTTGTCCAGAAAAATCCCAGACATTGTAAAACCAGGATAACTTCTTTTGTAAGATAAGCAAATAGCCCAGATAAGTGGCGACTGCAAGTCATGGCTTACACATTCTTTAATTTGTCACTGTTTTCTGAAATTTTCAACAAGACTCTTACAATTTCTATTGTTTTGTTTCTTTCACACAAAATTATTATAATAGCAATGTCTGGTTTTAGACTGAATTTAAATGAACTACTTGCATTAATTTTAGAGAGAACAAATGGCTCAATACACATAATTATAATTATCAATAATTATAATAATAAACACTTGATCATTTAACCACCAAATGTTTTTCACTAAGCCCCTACCTTAATAAGTGATTTTTCTTCAGAAAACAATAATGTTGGGAATAAATGGCTCACTTTTCTGTTCCAGCAATACGCTACATTTGGTGTCTCCAGCAAAAACTGAAGAAATTCCACCTCTGATTGAGAATCGAGAAACCTGGACTTCTTGCAAGCCTTTCATTGCTGGTCTAAATTTCTGCACCAAATTATTGTACTCCAATGCCAGTGCCACAGAGGCAGCTCCATATTATCCCTTGACTGGAGAATCCAGGTAAGTCATAGCAGCTTTAAATGTTTATTTTGTGTTAACTAACCTGCCCTCTTAGGGCTTAGTATCTATAGCACCTTCTCACATAAAGCTTACCTTTAAAAATCTTTAAAAACAGACTAGCAGGAGCAGCACAGAAGGAGAGCTTTTGAGGACTATATGAATTCTTCTGTTTGTGGTCATGGACAAAATAGTTATTTACAAGACATTTTTTTACTCCTTATTTAGATTTGAAGTTGAACTAGTGTCCACAGGTGAAGTGAAGGAATACTCTGCAAGTGCAAACTATGACCTGCAGAGAGAGGGAGATGACCTGATAGACACCTTAAAGTTTGCTGTCCAGGCAGAAGGTAAGAGTCCAAAAAAGCAATAGGGGTTAGCTAATTTTTGAACTGTGTCATTTAATGGGAAAAATATTTGTATGAATAAATCATAATAGAAATCTTTACAGTATAAAATACCATTTTCACACCCAAACAGGCCAACATTTTAACTTGCATTTCATCTCATGTATGCAATCCCAGTTCAAAATTTGCATGATCAGAGGCTGATTTTGTACCCCAAAAATGCTTCCCCATGATTTAAATGGAAGTGTCATGTTGGTGAATGGAAGCAAGGAAGAGGTGAAGTTAATGCAAGAGAAAAATACCATTTCTTATGAAATATGGAAGTAAAGCATACAAATTGAGAAGAACTGCATATACAGCAAATTTTTCAAAGGGACAATCTGTGGGATGGCAAGTTTACATAACAAAAGTAGTGACAGGATTAGTGGCTCAGCCCATGGTGTGTTTAGAAGATGAGGAGAAAAAAGATGACCCAGTTTCTGATTCAGACTCATCAAAGGTTGCATTAGATCTTCAGGGTGATATAATTTCCCGTTGATCCTTTTTTATTTTCCTTTTAAGAAAAGTCCAAACAGATTCCATAGTTGCAAATAACCAAAGGACATTATATTTTCCAGGTGTAAAGCAGCATGAGGCCACACTGACCTTCAGGTACAACAGAGACAGAAGGATTTTGACCAGTGATGTCCACATTCCAGATGTTGATGTTGACTTTGGTACAAACTTCAGAATTATTGATGAATCTGTTCCTTCGAAGAAAGCGTATACCTTTGTCTTAGACTTTAACAACAAGAAGATTTCTGAAGTTACTCTTACTGGCCAGATAAGGTAATTCAGGAAACCACTTACACTTTTACAGATACCTTTGAATAAGATAGGTGAAGGTTTTATTGAAGGTAGAAAATTGTGGGAAGTTTTACCCTATTTTGGAGAACTTGCTTATAGAGAGAGGCATATAAACTTGTCATTCAAACCCTCTTAAAAACCTTTGAAGTATTTTATTTGTAATCCATCATGTATACATCAAATAAATACATCTACTACACCAACTGATCTTTCCTACTATATGTATACATATAATTTGTATTACAAGTTCCTTGAGCTAGTTCTTCCATGTTTGCACACACATGACTACAAGAATGACATTGTACTAGTGTTATTGCAGGTGTGATAATCCAAGGATATAAACAAGGCAAGGTTTGTTCAGAGAGGTATTATCTTTTAGTGGATATGTTTGGCTCTAAAAAAAGTTATTACATCTCCCCATGAAGAAATCTAATGGCACTCAATAAGCAACAAAACCAAAAATAACTGAGAGCTTCCTGTAAAAATTCCCACGCTTCACGATGAGAATATTTCCGGGAACATCTACAGGGGAGCTAACAAAAATGTTCAGCCTGCCAGGGTTTCTAAAATTGTCTGCCTTACAAGCCCATAGTGAAATGAGCTGATCACATTCTTTAATAAACCTCAATCTTCCATGGAATTCTGTGATCTTGATGGTGCCCCAGGGAGTCTTTGTCTTTGCTGTTCATGCAGAATTGCCTCTGATATCAGTAGGAGCTTTGGACAGATGTCAGGGACCTCAGTTCCCTTTCATTTGCACTAACATAATATTAGAAGTTTGCTCAAGTCAACAAAGTTATATAGATATAAAATAAATGTGAATAAAGGAAAATGAAGCCCAGTGGCATAGTATATTTTGTCTTGTTTCTATGTGATTCATGGCCACAATCTGTACCCTTAGTAGAGAATTCAGCTTGAGTAAGGAGTTCAGAATTTGGTTCAGGAATTTGGTTCAGGTACAACTCCTACCAAGACAGGTACATATTTCCATCCATCTCAGTATTATGAAATTAATACGGAATTATTATTGTGTGTATCTGCACAGTAGCATTATAATAATTTACCATAGGTTTCCCAAAGTAACTAGCAGAAGCTGAAAACATTCATTGAATTGGAACATTTTATGAGGTTGATGCCATCTATTTTTTTATAATAACTATTATGCTTTTACTATATATTTAAATGCTGTAGTTGCTCCTGAAACATAAGTGAAAAAAGTAGAATGAAATGTTTTATATTTGCATTTACTTTTTGCTTTCACAGATATGCTGGAATGGAAGAGGCAATGTTAAGAGGCACCATTTCTATTCCTCGCCTGCAAACTGAACTTAGAACTGAAGCATTGGTTAATTATTCACCAACCAAAGGATATCTTCAGATGACCTCAGATGCAACAGCTCACGGAAACTCAATTTCAAAAAGAGTTCTTCTCAGATATGGTAGGGGCAAAAACATGAGCCACGTGTACAACCTATAAATTTAAACCTCTTGTAACATTAGTTTATAGTATATCCCTAAATAGAATAAGAATATTACTAATTTTACCCTTTTCTTTTAAATTCCTCATTTTCAGATTCTGAGAAAGTTGAGCTAGAGTGGAATTCAGGTGCCAGTGCTGCTGTGAAAAAAATGTCTTCTGGCTTCCCAGTTGACTTTTCAGACTACCCAAAAACTTTAGAGAAGCATGCCAATGAATTGCTGGATCGGAAAGTGGCTCATACAGATATGACACTGCGCCATATTGTGTCACAATTTATCGTGGTATGTTTCAACCTACAATAGATATTACTGCTTGACCACATAGCCCTGATGAATTCTTGCCTCCCCCATGGAAGCCAAAATGGGAACTACATGTAAAAGCATTCATCAGATGATTGAATAAGATGTGTATTTCCAACTTTGATCGAACCAGCCTCTTTATGAGATGTTGAGAGCTCAGTATATGGATAGTTACAATGGCTTTCAGATAACTTACTGTGAAGTCATAAAACTTGTTACTTAATTTGAAAAACGTGTCTCCTCATTGCAGGCAACGAACACTTGGCTGCAAAAGGCATCAAAAGATGTCCCCTATGCCCAGACTCTGCAAGATAAACTAAGTGGACTGCAGGAACTGAACATTCAGAAAATTAACCTACCTGTTATCACCATTCCTGAAGAACTTTTCCTGAAAAGGTAAGGAGAGAAATCAGGATAGTCTCACAGGAAAATGAAGATAGGTATTTGCTCATATTTTTGTTATTTTATTTTACTTTGTTCTATAAAAGTGTGGTATTGCTGTAAACTTTATCATAAAATTGGAATCATAACAAAGAATTTTAAAATCAGAGAAATGAAATTATATGGAGGAAATGATGCATGTCTTTAATACAGAGTTGACTTTACACCAGTCACTCCTGCAGTATATGAATATACCCTGAAATACTGTGTTATATAGTAATGCTAACTGAACAAAAATACATCATTCAACAACCTTTACTCTAAGCCACGGAACTAATGAAGCCAGGTTTCCCATAGATTTGTGTCCTGCATCCCTACAGACCATCCCTACAGTCTTTGGCCATAAGCCAAATATCTCTACTTTTTCCTGTGCAACCCTATTGGACAGTTCTTCTCATTCCCCTACACAGACTGGTTGACCTCCACCAATATAGTACCCTGACCTCTTCCCCTGTCTGACTCCACTTGCTCAGACACAACACATGCCGTGTGGCATGGACTAGATGCTTGCACTAGTTTGGGCCCATCTTTTCCACCTAATAGATTGTTTCACAGAACTTTCATGAATGTAATTACCCTTGAGGATTTTATCCTTCTGTCAAATTTTATAGAAATCATCCAATATGTCAAAAATGTCTAAAAATTAGGGTTTGGCAAACAAGAAGAGAAACTGGAAAGGAGATAAATAGTATATTTCTTCTTTTTGTAGGAAATCAGACTGTAAGTCAGCCAGAGTGCATCTAGACTTTAAAATGCTCATGCACCTGCCATGACTTGCTCTCATTACAGTTCCTAGCACATATTGTTCCCACCGTTTAGTGTTCATATCACACTGCTGCTCTGCCTATGCATAAGAATTCAAGGAACACTGTTGCTTGGTGGTACCTTCAGAATACAGCCACAGCTACCACTGTGATAAATACAAACGTGTCTGTATAGTTTTCCCATGAGCTAGGGAAATATTGATGGCTGAAATAAATGTAAAGGACCACAGAAGCTAGCGTAAGACTGGATTACAAAAATAGATGGACAACAGTCTTGCTTTTTATCTCTCAGCACTGTTTTTCCATGTACTATCTTTCACTGTGGTAATTTGAAACTGTATGTTAATTACACGCATCTCTATTGCTTCCATTGGGTTCCTACACCAAGTATAAGCAAGGAAAATACTGCTTTTTCTCCTATGTTCTTATCAGCAGTGCACATAATAATAATAATAATAATAATAATAGTAATAGGAATTTCTACTGTTCTATAATGTTACTTTTTTTAACCGTTTGATGTAAAGCAACAAATTTCAAAAATGTTTCCTTAATTTTCATCTTAGCATGTAACTTTAAGTGTAAAAAAGAAGATTTTGTAAGATACAATACCAGTTAGGGAAACAAGAAAAGCATCTTTGCCAGCTTATTGTTCATGCACAAATTAAGGCTGAGTTTCCTCCTGTTTTGCCTTTTTGTAATGATACTTTTTCCCCACAAACTCTTCAGCTGACAAGCCATTGTTTCCAGTCCTAACTCCTAGTCAAATGGTTAGATTTTTATTTATTTTTATTCAGAATAAAGTAAATGCTGAATATTTGGATTAAACTTTTGAAACGCTTATCATCAGTAAGATATATTCTTTATAAGTTAGGTTCTTACAACTTCTAATGCTAATAAGACTTCATGCATTTCTATAAGAATACATCACTTTTTTTAAGAATATAATCACCTTTTTCTGGTACTCAGCATGCCACGTTGCACAAGTGCAGCAGTGTTTTCAGAGGATTTTTTTTCCTCTATGTCAGCTATTTTCATTCAGATTCCTTCATTTTAAGGATCATTTTCATGCTAAGACATCTTTCCATTAATGTTCATAAAGCAGATTTGGATTCTCAGTGTAGAAAATCAAATGCAAGATTCATAACAGTTATGTATTTAGCCCCTTGAATGTCACCTACAAGCTACAGTTACTTGAGCTCTGAACACAGAATCAGGAACCTTTGAAATCTAATGCAAGGTCTTACAGAAAGAATGTGTTTCTGGACTATTTGATGTACGAGTCTCCCTGATTATGAAATAAGGGGGAAAAACATTGATAGAATTCACTGATATCAAAAGTGCTTTAAGTAAATTCTGATAGATGAGTGCTTAAAAAATGCTGATAATAATAGATGATCATTGATATAAGCATGTAAGTAAGCTCAGTATCATGAGAATAGTAGGAATTGTGGAAATTTCTGTATATGCTTCATGGACTTACAGTTTCTAATACAGTCACTTTTATTTTCTAGTGAAGGCCGGATCAGATACAACTTAAATAAGAACAGTTTTGTGATTAATATCCCATTGCCATTTGGTGGAAGATCATCCCATGACATAAGGGTGCCACAGACTGTTAAAACACCTCCTCTGGTAATGGAGTCAATGGGAATAAGAGTGCCATCTCAGGAGTACAGAATCCCGACATTTACTGTTCCAGAATCCTATCCCCTTCGTGTGCCTTTATTTGGCAGTTTAGAGGTCTCTGCTAATGTGTACAGCAACTATTACAACTGGACAGCAGCATACACTTTGGCTAATAGCTCCACAGAGAAAGCAGCCAGCATAAGAACTACTTATACCACGAATGCTGATTCAGTTTTTGAGCTACTTTCCTACAGTGTGAAAGGTAAGAATGTGTGCTAATACTGCAATGTTAGCAAAACTATTTTAATTACTTTATTTTCCATGTATCAGGTACAGCACATTCATTTTCCCATTGCTTATTTAAAGAAAGGTGTTGTATAATCTCAAATCACTTTGTTTTTAAAGAATTATGTGAGTCTGTTTATTCAGGCACCAAAGGTGAAGTGAGTTTAATTCAATAAAGACTTTCAAGGTCCATAGTTTCCTAAATATTCCCTACTGAAGAAAAAGTCCTTCAAAACTGAAGGCATGTTTCTACAAACACTTCTGTATCTGACTAGTCAAGTGTTTTCACAATCAGGTGTGCAGGTGTATGTGTAGGTATGCCTACAGTTTATTTCTCGCTGTCATTTTACATATATAGGTATATAATTTTTTAATCATTTATGTATGTCCAACTATATTGCAGTTATCCTGGACTCAGACTGGATAGGTCTTAAGACTGGTATTTTTAAGTTAGTTCCTCTAAAATTGCAGTTTGAGTTCTCAAATTGCAAAAGGACAAGCTAACTTCACTATTTTTGTAAACTCCCCACCATAAATGAAGCATGATAAAGAAAACATTAAAAACCAGGAATGTTAGCTATGGTTTATTCTTGAGAGTCCATCTTCTTAATTTAAGTTTAAGTAATGACATAACTTTGTGTAATTTTACATAATTATATTTAGTAGAGTAGTGTAGATATTTCATTTATTCATAGTTCAAACCTCTAGCCCCAAATATCAAAATAAGAACAATTTTTACAGAAATATTCAGGATTTACCAAAACATTTTGGCCTTTAAAGCAAAATGGTATAACAGTAATTGCAATTTAAGCCGTAACATAAGAGCTTAGTGGCATCAGACAAAGTCTTAAAGACAAAAAAGGTATAAATGACACCATTATCTTTTGTCTCCTTTTCCTATTTCAGGTTCTGGAGAAGCATCATATAATAGAAATGGATTCACCGGTGCATATGAAAATGACCTGAAGCACAGACTCTTAACATCAGTTTTTAGGTTGGCCAGGACAAAAAGTAATGAACCTGGTGCAGTTGCAAACTACACCATATCACTTACAGCATCCAGTACTCTGGGTCCTCAGCTTTCATTTTCTGGTGATATTGTTTCTGAAAAGACAAATGGCGTGAATATCAATAACGTCAAGATGGAAGGACAGCTGGAAGTGGCTTCTGTGTTTGCAAGAAGCATTTACACTCTGTCAAGCTCATACAATGAAAAGAGACGGGTTTTAGAAGGAAAGTCAAATCTGAAGTTGGATTCTTCTTACCTTCAGGCTTCCAATCAGATATCTGGCAGATTCAGCGAGGATTTGTTTTCCCTTACTTCAATTTCTGATGTACAAAGTGGACTGTTAAAGAACACAGCTTCACTGAAGTATGAAAATAGCCAGCTGAAAATGACATCTGAAACAAATGGGAGGTATCGACATACTGCAGGTGTAAATAAGCTTGAATTAATTTTGTCAAAGAAGATGGCAGCACTTCGATCTGAGTACCAAGCCACTTACAAGCAAACTCAGTATTATGCCTTGTTTGCAGGTTCTCTCAACTCCCAAGATCTTGTTTTCAACACTGATATCTCTATGACTGATCAAAGGAATCGAGCTGCACATAAGTCATCACTCACTGTAAATCAGTATGGTCTAGCCAGCAGCGCAACCACAAATGTGCTCTTTAGTCCATTGACAATGCAGAGTGAAATGAATGCCAAACTTGATACTGCTGGAGGCTCCATGTCACTATCCTCTTCTGGGCGCTATGGTAAAAACAATGCAAAATTCAATCTAGGTGGAAGAGTGAGCCTAACGGAAGTAACGCTGGGCAGTGAGTATCAGAGTACAGTTCTGGGTATGGACAACAAACATGTTTTAAACTTCAAAGTTAATAGAGAAGGTCTCAAGTTTTCAAATAATTTGCAAGGATCATTCAAAGAGATTAAGTTGGAGTACACAAATGACTTGAATATTCCTGGTTTATCCTTAACATTTGCTTCGAAGTTAGACAACAGCTTCAGCTTTGACAAGTTCCACAAGCATGTTTTTGACCTACAACTGCAGCCTAGCTCACTTACAGCTAAACTGACTAATAATATTAAATACACCAAAACAGAAGTTTCCAACAAAGCAGAACTTCTTCTCGAGCCTCTGAAGCTGAACTTGGGTGGCAATGTCAGAGGAGCCTATGGAGCAGATGAAATAAGGCATACCTACACCATTGCATATGCTGATCTAACTGCAAACTTTAAAACAGATACAGTCGCAAATGTTCAAGGCACAGCAGTGAGCCACAGAGTTAATCTGAATATGGCAGGACTTGCTTCCTCAGTTACTATGAACACAAACTGTGATTCCAAATCTTTCCGTTTCAGCAATGCTGTGCGTTCCACTATGGCCCCGTTTACTATCACTGCTGACATACATACCAATGGTAACGGAAAGCTGATCGCTATGGGTGAGCACACAGGAGACCTTTACAGCAAATTCCTCTTTAAAGCAGAGCCTCTTGCTTTCACTTTCTCCCATGATTACAGAGGATCTACCAGTCATAGCTTGAAGTCTAGGGGAAGATACTCTACCCTGCTTGATAACAAAGTTCATATGCTTTTTACTCCATCAGAGCAGTCAAGTGCTTGGAAACTGAAAAGTCAGCTAAACAATAATGTATATTCACAAGATCTCACTGCTTACAATGATGCAGAAAAGAGTGGTGTGGAACTCAGTGGAAGAGCTTTAGCAGATCTCTCTGTAATGGATACATCAGTCATACTACCGTTCACATCTGAAGAAATCAATTTAATTGATGTACTGGGCCTCAGGGGCAGTGTGTCAGAGCCTCAAGAATTCAGCATCTCCGGCTCTGTGAAGTATGACAAAAATAAAGACATGCATGTTATTAACCTACCATTCCTGGAACATTTGCCAGTTTATTTTGAACAAATCAGAGGCACCATTCTATCCACACTACAGGCCATACAAAGTTACCTGAAGAATATTAACATAGAACAACATATGAGAAAATACAAGGAAACTTTGGATAATATCCCACAGCACATTAATGATTACATGGACAAATTAGATATGAAAAGCAGAGTTATCAGCATGAAAAATAATTTGGTTGCTTTCACAAAGGACTACAGTATAACATCTCATGATCTCCAAATTATGCTGGAAAAGGCCATGGATTATCTTCAAGTAATACTGTCTCAGCTGCAGGACTCTCTGATACAAATTGAGCAATACATCAAAGATCATTATGAGCAGTATGACATTAAAGCACTTATTTCACAGCTTCTTGACCAAATAGTTGAAACAATGACAGCTCTAGATAACAAATATAAGATAAGAATTACTGTAGTTGACACTATTCAAAAATTGCAATTTTTTTTTCGCCAGTATTATCCTAGCAAAATTGGAAGCAGCACTCTGGCTTGGATTAAAAATGTAGATGATGAGTACAGGATTACAGCTAGGATACAGGAAAACCTGGAACAACTCAAGATTCAGATTCAGAATATTAATGTTAGACACATTGCAGAAAATTTGAAACAGCAGATTGAAATGTTTGATGCTAAAGAGGTTTTAGAAAAATTGAAGCATTCATTACCAATTAAAAAAATTAATGAAGTTCTTGAACAAATCAAAGACTTTATTCTAAATTGGATGGAGGAGTATGAAGTGTCTGAGAAGATCAGTGCTTTCCGAGGTCATATACACAAACTGATTGTAAAATATGAAATTGATAAGCAGGTATATTTTTTAATGGACAGAATGATAGAACTGCTTAACCAGTACAGAATAAAAGAAACCATCCAGAAACTGACAAACTACCTGAAAAATATTGATGTGAAGTCATGCTTTGATAAAGTTGTTGCTTTTATTGATGATGCTGTCAAGAAAGTGCGAACCTTTGATTATGAAATGATGATAAAGGAAGTCAACAAGTTCCTTGACATGGTTATTAAAAAGCTCAAGTCTTTTGACTATAACCAGTTTGTGGATGACACAAATAACAAAATCCGAGAAGTGACCCAGAAAATAAATGAGGAACTCAGAAATCTAGAACTTCCACAGAAAGCAGAAGCACTGAAACAGTATATGCAAGATTTCAGAGCTGTGATTTCAAAATACATGGAACAACTAAGGGACACCAAGCTTGCTGCAATAATTAGCTGGTTCAAGGAGCTCATAAACTCAACAACATTTGCTAATCTGAAAGCCAAGGTAAATGAACATCTGGAAGACCTGCGAGAGAGGATTTCCGAAATGGATATTTCCCAAGAATTCCAGTGGTATCTTCAGAAGATAAGCCAATTCTATAATTCTCTTGTCATATACATTTCTGACCAGTGGAACATAGCTTCTAAGAAAATCGTTGCTTTGGCTGAAGAGTATGATCTAAAAAATTGGGCTGAAAATTTAAACCAGTTTGTTGAAACAGGATTTAAAGTCCCTGAAATCAGATTTGTTATAGTCACTATACCTGCCTTTGAGGTTAGTCTCCGAAGTCTTCGGGAAGCAACATTTCGAACACCAGACTTCATTGTTCCACTGACTGATCTGCATATCCTCTCCTATGAGATAAATATTAAGAGACTACAGGACATGAAAATTCCAATGAAATTTACTACCCCAGAATTTACAGTTCTAAATACTTTTAAAGTTCCTTCCTATACAATTGACTTGAATGAGATTAAACTTCAGATTGTGAGAACAATAGACAAACTCATGTCTGGTGAATTTCAGTTGCCAGCAATTGATTTATATTTTAAAGACCTGAAGATGAGAGATATGCCTTTTTCTGACATTTCTTTCCCAGAAATACAAATGCCTCAGTTTCAAATACCAGAATTATTGGTTCCAAAGCTAAATCTAAATGAGCTCCAGATTCCTAACATGAAGATACCAGAGTTCCAGCTTCCACGTATCCCACATACTGTGACTGTCCCTACGTTTGGCAAATTGTCTGGTGCTTTCAGAGTGACCTCTCCATTCTTTACACTGTCTACACAAGCTGAGGTTCGTAATACTACAGCATCTACAAACAGTCCAGAATTTGTGACCTCCCTTTCAGCTCAAACAACGTCCAAGTTAGACTTCCTAGTTTTCAGTTTTATATCAGATTCACGTCTTTTGGCCCCTGAGATGAAGCAGCTCAACCTTAAAAATTCCATGAAGGTCAACCACAGGTTCCTGAAAGTTGATCACACCAACGAAGTGGTATTTTTAGGGACTTCAGTAGCAGGTGAAGCTGAAACTAGAGCAAACTTCTATACAACAAAAAATTCAGTAGAACTACAGAATAATTTAAAGGTCAAGCTGCAAAGAAAAATTTGGATGCAGAGTGGAACAGCATATTCCCACAGACTGAATATTCCACAAGCTGATTTCTCCAGCCAGGCTGATCTGGTCAATAATATGACAACAGAGGTAGAAGCAGGACACATATCATTTACCTCCACTGGTAAAGGAAACTGGAAATGGGCTTCTCCTAGTTTCTCCGATGAAGGCACTCATGATTCACATGCCACTTTCAGGGTTGAGGGACCCATTATTACATTTTCAGCCAACAACAGAATAAATGATAAGTACCTGAAAGTCAACCAAGCTATGAGATATGAATGTGGTTTCCTAAATTATGCAACACTTCAGATCCAGTCTGAAATTGAGTCACAGCGTGTGGGACGTAGCATTCTGAACGTAAAAGGCACAGGACAGCTTGGAGGAATGAAAGTAGAATTAACAGGCTCTCACAATGCTCGACTCAATGGACGGATTACTGGAACTGTAAATAATGAGGTTTCCTTCTTGGCACAGCCTTTTGAAATTCGTCTATTAACAAACAATGATGCAAATGTGAAAATCAGCTTCCCAATGAAACTGGCTGGCAAAATTGACTTCCTGAATAACTATGGTTTTGCACTCATTGCCTATAATATATCTGCTGGCAACAATGATGACAGAATTGAAGCTCATGTCGAAATGAATGGAGATGCCAATTTGGACTTCCTAACTATTCCTCTAACCATTCCTCAGCTTCAGGTTCCATACACTGGAATCAAAACTCCCCAGCTAAAAGAGTATTCATTGTGGGAACAGGTAGGCCTGAAGGATTTATTGAAGACAACAAGACAATCCTTTGATTTAAATTTGAATGCTCGTTATGAAAAAAACAGAGACATGCATGTAATCCCACTTCCTTTAGCAACAGTGCATGAAGCACTTAATAAATACATCATTCTCTTCAACAAGCATTTTGAGAGAGGAAGAAACACCGCTTTAGATTTTCTCACAAAGTCATATAATGAAGCCAAAACAAAATTTGACAAATACAAAATACAGACATCACTGAACAAACTGCCACGGACCTTCAGGATTCCAGGTTACACCATTCCAGTTGTGAATATTGAGGTTTCTCCTTTTACTGCTGAGATGCCAGCCTTTGGTTACATGCTCCCAAAAGAAATAAGCACAACAGGATTCACAATCCCATTTATTGGCTTTTCAGTACCATCTTACACACTAGTCTTACCTTCTCTGGAGCTTCCGGTCCTGCATGTCCCACAGGATCTACGCACTCTAAAGCTTCCTAGATTCAGAATCAACAGCCCATCAAACCACATCTTAATTCCTGCCATGGGAAATGTTACTTATGACTTCTCATTTAAATCCAGTGTGATCATTTTAACTGCAAATGCTGGGCTGTTCAATCAGTCAGATATTGCTGGGCACCTCAGTGTCTCATCCTCTTCTGTCATTGATGCACTGCAGTTTAAGCTGGATGGTTCAACAAGTTTGACAAGAAAAAGGGGGTTGAAGCTGGCCACAGCATTGTCCCTGAGTAATAACAGATTTCTAGGAGGAAATCATGACAGCGCTATTAGTCTCACAAAGAGGAACATGGAAGCTTCAGTGGCAACAAATGCAGAAATCAACACACCAGTTTTAAAAATTAATTTCAGCCAAGAACTTTCTGGAATTGGCACCAGTACCAAGGGAAGAATTACTCACAAACTTGCTTTAGAGAGCCTTACATCTTATGTGTCAGTAGAAACTTCTACAAATGGGGATATTGATGGAGTAATTTTCACTGGAAATGCCTTTTCTGGAAGTCTAGACCATGAGGCAAACACCTATCTGAATGCTAACGGAGCTCGGTCATCTCTCAAGTTTGAGGCCCACTCCAAAGCAGATGGACTCTGGAACAGTGAAATGAAAGAAATACTTGCAGTTGAAGCATCTACCCGTCGTGTTTATGCAGTCTGGGAGCACAATGGGAAGAACTATGCACGATATACACCTCTTTTCACAACAACAGGGGCTCAGAGATGCAAAGCAACCTTAGAGCTGGCTCCCTGGGGTATATCAGCAGATCTTCAGATTCAAGCCACTCAGCCAAATTCCTTCCTGGACACAGCCTCAGTTAACCAAGTTGTCGTAGTGAAAATCAGTACTGCAAACCAGAAAGCTGGCTGGAAGGGTGAAGGCCAAATTCAGTCATTATCTCTCAGTCACGATATGCAGTTCTCAAATGAAAAATCAAAGGCAAAGATTGATATTTCTGGATCTTTGCAAGGGTACATGGACTTCCTCAAAAACATAAAGTGTCCCATTACTGAGAAGAGCTTGTGGGAGATCTTGAAGTTGGATGTCACTACCAGTGCTGACAGAAAACAGTACTTAAATGGTTCAGCATCCCTCGTGTACACAAAGAGTGACGATGGTTACTTTTTCCCCATACCTGTGAATAAGCTGACCGATGGCTTCACTCTCAGTATTCCTGAGTTACACTTAAAGGCTCCAAGCCCTGTTCTCAGCACTCCAGAGTTCAGAGTTCCTTTCACCTCTCTCCAGGTCCCAGCGTACACCATTGATTTGCGCAACATAAAAATTCCACAGACGCTAAACACAATGCCATTTGATGTCAATTTACCCACACTACCAAAACTAAGATTCCCCAAAGTGAATGTAGGAGCCAATTACATTACATTAGAAGAATATAAAATACCATATTTTGAGGTGACAATACCTGAACACCAAATAACTGTGTCTCAATTCACTCTTCCAAAGAGTATTTCTCTTGGCAGTTTCCATGTAGACCTGGATGAAGTAGCTAATAAGATTGCAGATTTCGATCTGCCTACAGTTACAATTCCTGAACAGAAAATTGAGATTCCCCCTCTCAAAATATCCTTGCCTGCTGGAATTTACATCCCATCATTTGGTTCCTTGACTGGATCTTTCAAAGTTGCTTCCCCTTTGTACAATGTCACCTGGAGAACAGACTTAACAAACAAGAAGGACTCTTTCGAACAGTCCATTGACTCTACCTGCAGCTCAACATTGCAGTTCCTGGAATATGACTTGAATGGTAAGACGTTAAAATTCCATATGCCACAATTTTGGGGAGAAATACAGTATACTGTGCTTTTTCAGATTTTTTTTTTCCCCAGGACTTTGCATGTGAAGGTTTTGCTGTCTATTTAGCATTGGCATTAGATTATACTGCTTTTATCATTAGCAGCATTTTTTCAAAAATCATTATCAGAGTGTCAGTCAGTCACCCTGAAGGCTAATGACTAGATGTATGCATAACTAAGGGCACACTGTGAAAAAAATGGAAAAGATCTCTGTTCTATGTAGCAGTTTCTTACTTTAAATTGTGATCAACATAACATTCCCCCATTACTTACAATAATACATGTAAAGGAGAGAAGGCAGGCTGACTTTTTATCTGATTCAGTTCAGATAAAGAAATACCTATCTTTTTCCTTATGAACTAAGCATATTTGATTTCAAAAATTACTTAAACTCAGAAAACTCTGGAGTCCCATATAGCACTGAGTTCTAGACTTTATAGTAACACTAAAAATATACATCAGAATAAAATTCTAAACTCTGAAAAAAATAGAATCCCCATTTATGATCTGCATGACTGCAAAATATTATATCCATGTCGTTCTAAATATAGAGGAAAAATGAATTTTAAAATACTCTGGTTGAACAAATAGTTTAATATCTTTTTATTTGGGGCATTATGGGCATTCAGTTTCTTGATGCATAATTTTACATACTACTAAAACACCCCACAACGGGCCTTCTAACATAGAACTGGATATGTATTTTTTATTGTTTGATGGTAAGTTAAGTTCTGGAAATACACACATTTGAAATCCTTTTCACAGTTGTTTCAAACTACAAATATGAAGACGGTTTGTTTGTTATGAAGACAACTGGCAGCTTTTCACATCGTGACATGAGCGCAAATTACAAGGAAGACCTTACTATTTCGGGAATTAGGTAAAGATTTGCTCTAATAATATAATTTACAATAGACTAAATTACCAATGGTGTATTGTTGCTTTGATCTCTAATGCCTCAGAGTACTTTGCTGTAATTAATAAGAACCTATGTAGCCACGCTGTCATTATTGGCTGTGCCTGTTTCCCTCTCAAGATGGCTGGAAAGCTGTTCCCTCTCACCATTTCTGGAATAGCTTTTCTCAGCTCTCAAAAAACTGCTGAGATATAAACACAGTTTTTTATAATCGGATCAGTTCTAGGAGTCCTAGATCTAACTGTCAACATAGTGGAGTTTTTTTTCCACTGTATCCCTCTGTTACCACAAGCCATTAAAGAGTAATTTTTATTCACAAGTAAAGGTACTAGGGATTGCAGAGCTGGCCTTCTAACTGCCTGTTTTGATCTGCAAGTGTTGTGTTGATATATCCAAGGGACAGAGTCTGTGAAGGCAAGTACAGATGCAGACAAAAAATACTGCCTGTACTTGTGTTGGTGGAAAAAATGGCAGTCGGCTTGTAGAAGTCTGTAGAAAGCTGACAGTGGTACAGCCGCAGGTTTTGTTTTGCTGCCCTAATATAATGAAAATTCTCAACAAAGATCAATATAGTTGAATATACAACATGAAAATTGGAGTGACACAAAGTTTTGAATGTGTTAGGCAAAATCGTAAGGAATGTGGGTAGTAAACCCCAACATTTTCTTTTGATGACAAAGGCATTGCTTACATACAGAAATATATAAAATAATAGGTGGTGTTGTATTTAGATATACTGCATTGGGCTTTTGCTTTGTGCATTCCTTCATAGCTGTGTGTTCACTGTTGTTGTAGCGTCATGGACAATACTGCCTCACTAGACATCATCAGCCCAACTTTTACAGACGTTCATATGCGTTATCGAGAGACTGACAGGAGCTTATCTGGCTCAGTATCTTCACCTTCTGCTGGGACCTTGGGCTACATCATTGAAATGGACACTGACATTTTCACGGCAAAAGTTTTCTACCGAACTCGGGTAAGCTTGATATGACCAATAAAAAGCAAAAAGGTTGGGTGCGGTCAGAGGAAATGTTCCCTTTTAAAGTTTGTGTATGTTTATGTTAAAACATAAATTAGCCACCTTTTGTCCAAAGAAAAAGTATATTACCAGTAAAGTTTTTGTTTCCTACACTGGCCTTTCCAATACTAAAAGTAGCATCTGTGTGAAGAGGCTGTTTCAGCTCCTCCACACAGTTAATTTTGCCCTCTCCTGTGATCAAGGAGACACAGCCATCGAAAATGAAAAAGGTAGAAAGCCAGTTTTAGATAAGCCACCCATCAGGTTTAATGTATACCCATCAGGCTACTTATAATTACTACAAAAGTGGCCATTATAGGAATCAGGCCACTGGAAGAGGTCAGACCATCTGTAGAGTGTCTTTTTTAATCCATTAATATATCACAGTACATTATGAGAATTAAAAACCTTACTAGATTTGCTAACAAACATGCTATTATTATTAGCATACTACAACAATTTCAAACTTAAAATCTTACCTTAAAATCACAAGCAACTCATAATTCACTAACTACTACTGAAAACAGGAATATTTGTTTATCTGAATAGATTCACATTCAAGGATCTTTACTTACTCTGAATAACCCTCTAAATTGTCTCATTGATCTAAATTATTAAAAAATGAAATCCTCTATTATTTTCATACGAAGAAAATGGTTTTTGAATTCACTTTAAATTATTTCAAGAATGAGTAGAAGGCTCATTTTCCCAAGTAATTCATGTGCCTTACGAGACATGATAGGCATTTAATACAAAGGAAGGAACAATCTTATTTGCAGTCAAATTTTTAAAAAGACCAGATTAAGTTATGTTCTAGTCCTGCTGTTTGAAGAGGCACAAAGTAGCTTGATACAATATAATTTCTTCCAAAATAACCTTTCAAGATGAGAACAAACACACGGTAGGCAAAAATTGTAGTGTATTTGTCCTAATAGATAACAAAATTAAAGATGCAAAATGAGAATGCTGAAATTCACTCATAAATAATATCAGATTTGTTTTACATACAAGCTACCTTTTTCTTATCCTGTTCTACATTTTCAGTCTGCTCCTCAGAAGGACATTGACGTATTAAAAAGTGAGATATCCTTCAAGAAACCTGATGTGATTCAAATGAAATTCAACTGGAAAGAGGATGCTGCCAAAGACTTGCTGTTGGGTCTAAAAGAAAAAGTACCTAAAATGACAAATGCATTCTATAGGTATGTTAATCGGTATCATAAAGAGCATATGGGACTGGAAATTAGTGCTGCCACCTTAAAGATGAAGAATATCATGCAGAATAATGCTGAAAAAACATACTCATTTGCTGTGAAACAAATAGACCAAATAGATGCTCAGCTCCGCACAGCTGCCAATGAGGCCTCTGACAAATATCAGGAGATGAAGGTCAAAGCTAAACAGTTATATCAGCAAGCAGCAGATCAGGCTGAAGAGTTTGACTATCAAAGAATAAAAGCAAAGCTTTTGGATGCTACAATTGACATAATAGAAGAGTATCACAAAAGGTTAAAACACCTAATTGACTCAGCCATTGAATTCCTGAAGACCACAAAATTCCAGGTCCCTGGGCTGTCTGAAAAGTACACTGGTGAAGAAATATACCTTATGACCACAGAGAAGGTAGCAAAAAATGCTGATTTATGCCTTTCAAAACTTCAGGAGTACTTTGATGCCTTGATTGCAGTTATCAATGAGATAGAAGTCAAAGTTCCTGCTTCTGAAACAATTCTTAAAGGTCGTAATGTACTTGATCAGATGAAAAAAATGCTGAAACATCTGCAGGAAAAAATCAGGCAGACATTTGCTACTCTCCAGGAAGCTGACTTTGCAGGAAGGCTTAAGCAACTGAAACAAGTAGTGCAACAAGTTTTTCAGAAGGCAGAAGAAATGGTTAGAAGCTTGCAATCCAAAAATTTTGAAGACATCAAATTCCAAACACAACAGCTGTACAAAGATGCAATGGCTTCAGACTATGCACAGAAATTGAGATCCTTGGCAGAAGATCTTAAAAAGTACATTTCTCACTTTAAAGATTTTAGCCAAAAGGCATTCCAGGACCTTTCAGAAAAGCTGCACCAGCTGCTCCGCTATGCAAAGGCTTTGCGGGAGGAATATTTTGATCCAACTACACTTGGATGGTCAGTGAAATACTATGAGGTGGAAGAAAAGGTACTAGCATGGCTGAAGAGTCTAATAGATAAACTAGTGGATTGGCACAATTATGTTGGAGATCTTGCTGACTCAGTAACATACCTGATAGACCAAGTAAGAGAATTGGTGGAAAACTACAACCAGGAATATTATGACCTTATAACTGATGTTGAAGGAAAAGGAAAACAGAAGATCATGGAGCTCTCATCTGCTGCTCAGGAAAAAATCCGATACTGGTCTGCAGCTGCTAAGAGGAAAATCAATGAACATAACAAACAAGTCAAAGAAAAACTCCAGGAGATCTATGGGCAGCTTAGTCATTCCCAAGAAAAGCTAATCAGTGAGGCCAAAAGGTTAATTGATCTAACTGCAGAAAATTACTCTGCATTCCTGCAATATATGTCAGAGCTTCTTCGCTGGTTTGAGCAAATAACAGCTGAGAGCATAAAGCCATATATAGCTGTTCGTCAAGGAGAGCTTAGAATAGATGTGCCCAAGCCATTTGACCGGCAGTCCATTTACCAAATGCGCCAAAAAAGCAGAGAGGCACTCAGAAAAAAAGTGGAACTAACACGCACACTCATTCAGCAAGGCATTGAGCAAGGCTCCAGGAAATGGGAAGAAATGCAAAGATTCATTGATGAACAACTTGCCACTGAGAAACTGAGTCTTCAGCAGATAATGGAAAATATACAGCAGCGCATGGAGACCTGAATGAACAAGAGGAAAAGTAATAAGTTTGTACCACAGTGTATTTAAAAATAACAGCAATCAGCATACTGGAGCTTCAGGTAGATACTGTTTGAATCTGAATTTGTAAATGAAAACCGAATAATCTACACTAGGCTAATAAGCTTAATAAGCCAATAAATGAGTTCTTTATTACATTATTGTGTCATTCATTACAGCTACTTTTACTTGGACCATAGGGCTTAATCCAACAATTGTCAAGGTCAATGGGAAGTCTTTGCTTTGATTTCACTGTATGTTGGATCAAGCCATTAATGTGCAATACATATTGTAAATAGTCACAAAAGCTATGGAATACATAGAATAAACAGGTTTTAAGTTAAAGGTCACATTCATAAGCCAGTTGAAGAACAACTTGAAAACACATCTATTTCCCAGCATAGAAATACCTTCATAGATAAATTTGGGAGAAAAAGAAGAAAAGCATGTGCAAAAATATGAAGAAAAAATTAATGAATTCTGGAAATAAGATCAAAAAATGAAAAAGAACATGAGAATATAAACATATATAGAAATCTGACTCCTGGAAAACTGCAGAAAATAATACCAATGTTCTATTAAGGAAAATAAATGTATGCATGTACCAGTTTTCAGAAAAGTATGCCAAGAATTTTAGCTGGGTTTTCTTTCTACTGGCTAATTTATGATTCAGAAATACAGGGGGTTTTACCTGTTTCCCCATGGTATTTCTGATTTCACATCAAATTGCCTAACTTTTACTGATCGCGAGTTTAGTTAACTGGCAAAGTTTCACTGACATCACTGTCTATGATGGGAGTCAAAAAGTTTTCCCCTCAGTCTCCAAGGCTGAAGCCTAGGCCTCATTTAAATGAATTCTCGATTTAAAGATGAACTTAAATAACGTTGAAGAATTCATTCACAAAATAGGACTACTTTTGAGTGGAAAATGTGTGGACCTGTTCTGGTTTATTTTCAGCTGTTGGAATACTATATAGACAGTCCTTGAGAAAGGCATGCTCAGGCTGAAATAATGTTGCCTCTTTGAGAATAAACTCTTTAACAAATAACACCAGAAATTTTGTGTATGTCTGTTTTGATACAATCCGTTCACTCTGTAATATGGATGTTGCTTGTTCGTTAATGGGAAAACAGAGAGTCTGGTTTCATCCCATGGTATGACTGATTGCATACATGAAGCAGTGGAGCACCGGGTTACAAATACCCCAGTAAGTTTTGTGGCAGCAGGTACGTATTTACAGCACAGAGCAGCACCACACAAAGACACTGTCTCACGTTCTGGAAACAGGAGAGCCCAGTGCCCATGTTGAGTTCATGCAACAGCAATGTTCCCACCTCCACAGCTGGTCCACACCAATCTAGCCAGATCTCAGAGCAAGTTGGGCTACATGACTTTGATATCCCTATTGCCGGATAATACTGTTATCCGAACCAGTCTGCCAGTAAGGATTTTCATCAGATGAGCTACATTAACCCCAAAATCAGAATCTGACAAGCGCGGTAGCATACACACACCTATCTAGCTGTCAGCAGAAAGTGGGCATCTCTCAGAAAGGTAAATCTGTTTTCTCTTTAGAGCTTTCAGCCATCACAAATATAGCAATAATTCTCAGATAAAGAGATGGATTAGTCCCCTGTGAACTGTAAAATACAGACTTTTCAGTCTGAATAGAACTGATTTGCATATGTCACCCTGCCTGGGGGAACCAGAGGTATAAAAATCCCTGTTTACATGTCCTACTGTGTATCCCAGTAAAGAAAGATGTTGGCTGCAGAGCCCTTTCACCTTTATTCACAAGGAAACTGAAGCCTATGGGTCATCTGATCTTTATTTGATGTCAGATTGCACAACTCATTTCCCTGAATTTCACAAATGTTTAAGCACAACCAGATTTCTCAGACGCTGTCTGATTCTTGCTTCCCTTCATCATGACGAATAACCCTGTGAAACAAAGGACAATAGAAGAAATTATAAAAGTTATGGGAGAAGAGAGATTTAAAGTTTTGTTTTCTTTTGTTTTCCCCCTCATGGCTATTTATTTCTGTCCATCACCCATAGTTCTTGGGGGGGTTATAAATTCTAAAAAAGGATTTACTTATAAGTAATGGGTTAACTGAATAATAAATATGCCAAATAGCATAAATACTGGTTCTTTTTGGCAAGAGTGAAACTTCCCAAGAGCAAACACAATAGTTTGCGCACTAAACTGTGGTTAGAGGTTAGAGGAGATTTCCAAGTCTCATAGCAGCGTAGCCGCCAATTGGATTACAGCTCTCAGCCCTGCAGTCGCTGTGACAGCCATCTTGCAGTCATCCCGCAGTTGGTTTTGGAAGGGCCTGGAAGCAGTACGTTGCTGGAACATAGCTGCTGTTAAATCCCCACACCAGAGAGGTCCTCTCAAGCACCCCTTTGAAACTCTGGCAGTGTTTTGACACAGGAAGGGGTGTGTATGTGTGCGTGTGTGCGTAGGTACGTCCCACAAGCACGTACAACCAGGTGTAACTTCAATTTCCATGCCTTTTCCTGTTGTTTGTTGGTTGGTTTGTTGTTCTTCCAGGTTCCAGTGAATTTTAGCTTTATTTTCCATGTAATATGCTATGGAAATGTAGACAAAGCCACAATTATTCAAATTACACTGCAATCCACTCCACTTATGAAATTTTTGCAATGTAATGATTTGAAATGTTATTAGATCTATTTTGGCCTCTTTTTCAGTCTAGGTTATATAATAAGAAATACTATATTTCATTAAATTGAATTGTGTGGGAGATAACTGGGAATCAGCAACTATCTAGGGCTCAATGACACTGTTTCTTTTTTTTTTTTTTTTTTCCCTGTAGTCTTCATCATCTGAATTCTCATAAATGCCAGAGGGGCTTTTCTTTATAATTTACATCAAGTATCAGACATAGAACAGAACTGGTTGTAAAAGTTTAATTAAGTGAAACATTTTAACAAGAAATTCAGAGAACAATATGCCCTGCTCTAACTAAGTGACTGTAGAAATAACATTGACAAGAAACGTGTGTGTTCCTAAATGAAAAACTTTTGCAGACGTAGGACAGCAAAAATGTTCCAGAATTTTAGATTATGCAACTAACTAAAGCTGATCTTTTATTAAGTGATTTAAAAATACGTGTATAATTTTCTGCATATACAGAGATTCTACACACGCATCCACACACACCATACAGTGCATCATCTACCTCTGGCTCTAAATTACGCTACTGATGCTTTTAGAGCAACTGTCATTATGGCCTACTGATACTTTACAAAGTTTATATTGAAACATTCAGTTGTTCAGTAAGTGACACCAAATTTTGTACTGCTCTTCTGCTGGCAGATTTATTGCTCAGGTGGGAAACCAGAATTTATTAAAGGCCATTCAGAATTGCTTGTATTCCATTTCTACGTAGCCAAATCCTGGCCAAAATTAAATCAATGGCAAACTGTCTATTGGCCTCAGAAGGAGTAGGCTTTGGCCAGTTAGGTGTATAACTTGAGAAGTACTTTGGGATCCCGTAGGACAAAGGCTATATTATTGTCTATAAAAATCTACACAAAAATCTCTTTGAAAAACCATGCAGACAGGAAAATTAATTACTAACAAATTCAAGGCAGGCCAGAATGAAGGTTGCCTGTGCAACACTAACCAGAACCTCTTTATTTACCCAGTTTTACCTAGTACCACAAAGAAAGTCTTCCAGGGCCAAGAATCCAGGGTTCTGGTCCCATGCCTTCAACGTCCATATGCCTATCATCACCCTTTCCCTCATTTCATTATCCGTCCAAAGCATTAAAGGAAACTGGGACTTTGTAGAACAAAAGCATATGTTGGAGGTTTGCAAGACCTGACTGGGCAAAGTCTTGAGCAACCAGGGACATACATTTACACACATGTACGTGCCAGTGTATTTCTGATAAAACCTTTATATCCACCATTCAACAGTCCAATTAGAGAACTGCCAGAAGTTTTGGATGGTATTGAACTGGTATGATGAAGGCACATTTCAACAGCAGGAAATTGAAATAGCGTGGTCAAGGCAAACTAGAACATCCATCTTTTTTCTCTGGATCAGGCAACCTGATAACCAGTCGTGGCTGAACTAAGGGGAAGTAGGTGTCAGGGCAAGTTTGCTAGGAGGCTTGAACTTCTGTCTTTAGATTGACAGTAAGATATTACAACAGCTCTTCCACCATGTGTCTATTCCAGCTGTATTCTCTCCAGCAAATATCTTCATCCTTAACTATGCATTAAACACACAACCCCCCTAGCAAACTGCACAGTTCCCAGGGTATCACCTGACAGCTGTCTGATATTCTTTGGTATAGCACATACTTTCCTTTGACCCTCAGATACTTGCTTGTATCAACCTGGACCATCTTCTGCAGAAATCTTCCTTAATTTCTCTTTAATATTTCTGGGTTCCAGGCCTACCAGAATTTGTGAGTCCAGGGGATTTCAAACCTGCTTTAACCTATAGTGTTGGAAACCTTTTCTTTTACCTACTCTTGCACAAGAAGCAACACCTCACTGTTTTTCTTACTGATGAGAATGTGTCTGCAGTGGGAATGAACCAAGGCCTACCTTTGCCTTTACCTTCCTTAAAGTATTTTTTCTCTGTGATGTTGCCACGCATTTGGATATGTAATTGTGTTCACAACCAGCTGGTCAGTCCTATTACACTGGGTATGTACCTGCATGAGTATAAGTTCACAAAATCAAGTGGGTAGTATAGGTAACAATGTAGGACAAATTCTTCATGACTAATGCTATCATTCCACACAGCCGTATCTTGTACTTTTCATCTGGTCCGTACTCACTTTGCAAAGATCCTATATTCCCCTGAAGCATTCCAGCAATTGAAATCTTTTCAGCCAGTCCTACATCTTTCCTCTTCTGTGTTATTCATGCCAATTTAGACAGAAGTATCCCTTTGCCTTACCAAACCATGGAAGCTTTCCCAGCATGTGGGAACTGACC